CTCATTTTATCAATAAAGATGGCAGAATACAAGACCTTAAAAAAACTTTCCACAACAATAAGCAATTTAGTTTTAACCTGATGCAAATAAACGAAACTCAATTCCTTACCAACTAGGAACATAGAGTTAAGATTTACTAAGCACTTCCTAAGTCCTAGATATGATCCTAAGTACATTAGATGCATTACTTCATTGAATCCTCAAAATAACTGTATGAACCAAATGCAATAATTTGTTGATTCCCACTTTACAGATGAGAATCATGACCCAAAGAGGTTAAATAAACTTCCCAAGATTGAGGATCCAGATTTCAAGCCAGTATGTGGATTCAAAGCCTGTGTTACTGTGCCACATTGCTTCTCAGTTCTGGGAAAACTGGTATAAAATTGATCACAAAGAATGTATTTCAATAATTACAAGCAAAAATAGCCATAGCAACAGAACTAAGATAGAGTACTAAGATCTAGAAAAATACTCCAGTTTTTGTCAATCTGGAATAAAATTATGAGTGATTATTTTTATATACATGCTACCTTAGTGCTAGTTCTGTGCAGAAATGTGTGTGCATGTCCCTGTGTGCACACGTGCCATGTGTTTGTGTATTACAAGAAAGACACAGAACTAAAGACAAAGAAAAAGAGAGATTTTAAAACATTGTTTAAAAATCTCCTTGTATTAATTCTGGATTATAATAACTTGAAAAGGTCACCAAGGTACCACAACATAACTTCTAACTGTTATATTAAGGGAGATTTATAAAACTATATATCTCATCTCCGCCTTCTTTCCAATTACTCCGGGTGGAAAATGACATTGGCCTTCCAAAACCTTAACTTATTTTGGACCTCTTCCATTTTTGAGTCTTATTCTAGTGTCGCTGACCATTAAAATGAATATTTCAGTGAGGTTGGAACAGTCCTATTAGACCAAGCCAAGCTTTAGCTTTATATGGCTTATGCTCTTTAAGAGGTTAATCTAGCCAGCCAGCTCACTTTGTTCAGAAGTATTAAATGGAAAGATTGTAACAATCAAAGAAAGGCAAAGTTCACCGGGTAAGACCCCCAATAATATAATGGAGCATAAAACCTCTAGAATTTTTTACCATAATATTTTATGAAACATATGCACACACTGGAAAAGAATCCAATTCAAATGGTTTTGAAGGTCAGTTCAAAGTCACCATGGATGTACTATCTTTGTGAGAAATATATACTATTTCAAAAGTGCCTGAACCCAGAAGCTTCCTTTCCCTATTTTATAGTTTATTATCAGTTCAATAGTGTAATATATTAAGGAAAAAAATTCACCTATTACAGCATGAAATAATTTGCAGCCAAAGCCTAAAGTTCAGTAAAGCATTCCAAATTTTGGTATCAACAAATTCTTGTGTTAGGGAACAAAAGAAATCACAGAGTGTATTCTAAAAGGAAGTGCTACCTAAAATGTGGGCAATAAATACAAAAGTTATAAATAATTATTTTATCCTCAACTTCACAATCAATTATGAAAGCCTTTGAAGTTCACTGTTGTGAAAAGAGCAAAAGAATCAATTCTTACATTTAAAAGAAAAGTGAATTAGGAATGAGCATGATTAAAGCTAACTATTCATATTATTCTGATGTTTCCAAAAAGCCCAAATGCTATGAGCAACTATGATTCTCCCAAGGGGAAGGAAGTAAAGGTCCACTTTGCATGACAAAGGTCAGATTTCTGCAGGCAAATGAGACTTGCATGGTTGACTGTTCCTTGGCTGTAACTGTCTGGCTGGGTCCTCAGAGGTCAAGAGAGGTTCCAAATTCTGCTCACTGCTTAAGGGACACCCCTGGGGCCACTTTAATCATTTTAAGGTCATTAGGACCTTTCTTACTCTGGTTGCAACTTTACTCCCTTAAATCTTGCTAGCACATTTTGGCAATTCAGTAGTGATGTACGGTAAAAAGAAATTGAAAGTATTTAGTATTGTATTCAGATCAAAAGATAGAATCCACTTAACAACTTCTTTTAAATCTAAAATTCAGTTCTATGAAATTCAAGCAGGCCACAGAGGATGATAATCAGGCCCCAGTAGAAAAGCCAGACTTTCTGATAGCTTGTCCTGGTATTTACACTGCATGACCAAGACCACTCTTCCAGATTTCATTTTATATGATGTAGCTTTATGTGATAATGATCTTAAATAGTTTCCCCAATCATCACATATGTTTAAATACGGTTATATTTTATTTTTTACTTTTTAGTAATAACTATTGAGTCACTGAAAGAGAACAAATGCTGAAGTCAGTATTACTATTTGACTGTATTTTAATGTTCTTCTATCTAGTGCAAATATATGCCTAAACTTTCTCACGGTGGATTGGAAATACACCAAATGGATTATATTTATAAAAGTTGGAAGATTTTGGTCTATTTGTACTTAATGAAGGCTATCTCTAAGTATCTTAGATAATGTGTAGAGAACATCTGTATTTAATTATATCAAACTTTTCTTAGACAATGGGAATTGAATTAAGGAATATTTTGAACCCCCTATAGAGATATAAAAGTATTAACGGCTGTTCAAGAACTTTAATGATACAATGCTTGAAAATGTTTGGTTTTACAGATCAACAGCCTGACACTTCATAAATATCAGACATTCAGTAAAAAGGGAAGAACCTTAAAATACTGGGCAAATACAGAAAATACACCACTAGAAAAGACAAGGGCTGTATCTTTTCACTATTATTGCATATCACGTACAAAGGATGCCTTTCATATTAGTACAGATACGAATAAAATTTTGTAACATGTAAAATGAGCAGGATTTCTCTTAGAATTTTGCTGTGGACTGAGAATTTCTACAAGAATAAATTAACAGCTTGCTATTCATTCTTCTCAGAGGAAAAACCCTAAGCTGTTCTCATGGAAACAGTGAGACACAAAATATGGGTTTTTAGTACTTGTCCTTAACTATTGAAAAAGATCAAATTTTCTTTCTGGATGCTTACTGGTTCCAAATGCCACTTCTTTTCAAAGTCAGTGTCAGTTCTGCCGTCAGTTTTCAATCTCCCAGTGGTAAGAATATATTCAAAGGCTGTGTGCACAGCAGGGTAGAAGTCTTTCTCCCTGAATGTAACTATATCACTCATCAGTAACCTCCTGCCATAAGGGAACTTGTGTTTTCTTTCCTTTTAGTGACTCCTTGGGCTCTTGAATGCCAGTCACTGCCCTGAGACCTGGGGCAATATTCACATAATCTCTGTCAATAGTTCCTACACATGCCATTGGTGCAACTAAACGTCAAGGCTGCAGATCAAAGTCCCCACATTCTAAAACTCACGTCCTTTACGGATCAATTTTCATAAACTATATTCTGTGTTTTAGAAATACATGGAGGCTCACTCTTTGCTTTGTTCCTTTTATCCCACAGAAGTTTATTTATATGAAAGGCAATCTGATTTGCAGATAATCGTGTGAAATTCTCATGCAATACATAAGGCTCATTCTTTCCTTTGCATAGTCTTCTATTGAAGTATTTTACCATATCTAGTATCAGAGTAGAAATGCAAAAATCTCTGGGCTATTAAAATGAAAAGATACAAGTTGCTTTGCAATACTTGACCATCCTTCCCTCGTGCCTGGTACAATACTGGCTAGATGGTGGGTAATAAATTCTTACTCATGATTGATTTTATTTTAAAATCTTCATTATGCTGGAGGTAAATTATATGACAGAAAATAGGTTCAGCATATGTTTTCACAATCTATATCCATTTTAATTATTCAAAGTTGCTTGGGAAAAATGAATGTAATTATTGGAAAACATTTTCACTCTGTGGATTTTATGTAGATTGCATAGATCCATTTTTCTTCAGGTAGATCTTAGTAAAATACAATGGACCAAACTATCAGCTCTGAATATCTTTTCAATTCAATTGTGGATATAAAAATGTTTCAACTTACAACTTTCTCTAAAGAACTTATCTGGAAAACACCATAAGATTTAGAACATAATGTACCCAAATGCTATTTATGCTTACATATCTAGCCATAGTTTAAATAGATTTATTATAGAGGTAAGAGTATAAAACATTAAATATGTACATATCAAAGGGCTAAAAAGAATATGAGAAACCAAATGCAGATCTTAAAGCCATAGAGCTGTTTACTAAATTCCAAATTTATTCCAGATTCATTGTCCCAGTTCCCCTAAACAAATTTTAATATAATTATGAGATTATTAGGTACAAAGCTTCACTGTGAGTTTTCCTATAATCTGTGAGACATTAGGCAAGTCACTTACTCAGAACCTAGCCTTGGCCTTACCTGTTTTAATAAACAATTAAAATGTAAGGCTTTTTAAAGTGTGAGGAAAAAGATGATTATTTCCATTTTTGTAGCAAATGGTTAAGGCTCCACAGAAAATCAGATAACTGGAGAAAATTACAGAGGTCCTCATTAATGGAGAAGATTTAAATTTTCTGAGAAATCAAATTTCTATTTTCTTTAATTCTACTCTTTATTGCTAATAAGATAATAATTTGTCTAAAATCCAAATGTGATTAACTTTTAAATTGAAAAAGTTACTTTGACAATACACCGAATCAGCCGATGTAGAAACAGGAGCGTAAAATGATTATAAATCAATAAAAAATGTAAAAAAAAAAAAGTAAAAAAAAAAAATGTATCCAAATGGGATCTACAAAGCAAATTTTACTCTGCTTTTAATCTTCTCCTTATCAATATTTGTAGCCCCTTTATCATTATAATGTTGCATATTTTGTTTTCTATTTTTAATTAAACTTCCCAGACATTTGTCCATTAAAAAAAAAAAAAAGAAACAGGAGCATGTGTGTGCATGTGCACATGCCTGCATGCACACACGTTTGTTTATGCTGAGAGCAGAGGTGGAGAGGGCATAATAGCTACGATTCAAATCCTTTAACTCTCCTCTAGAGGTATGGCAAAATGAAACTACAGGAATGAAGAGCAAGTGGAGTTTTCTTGGGAAGCTGACTTACCAGTTTTTCGAAGGGGGAAATCATCTTTTGCATCTTGTGCTCCTGGTAATGTGTATTTGTAAGATGGAGACGTTCCACTCAGGGGTGGAGAGCTTTGATCCAATGACGTGTGGTGGGCAGCCCTACAAAAGAAAAAGAAGTTTCACCATTTGCCCTGGAGTTTTTACTGCATGTTGGTCAGCAATAATCGGTGGCACATGCCGTAACACGGGTCTCAGCTGTGTTTACGTTCTTTCTTCTTAGTTTGTGCAAACCACAGCCTCATGTAACCAAATTCACTTTAGCAGTATGTTACAGAACGATGCGGGATGTCCGAGAATGCCCACAATGTGTTTGGTCACACAGTCACACAGAAAAGTTTGCTTCACTAATGGAGAAAATTGACCGAGAGTCTGAGTTTTGACATCTGAGATTATTGTGTGTGTTCTCTTAAGAGCCATATTAGTGGAAAAGCCACCATCCGAATCCTTTTTAGTCAATGATGTAGAACAACCAATAAAAGTAAACATACAGAAGACTTCATTCTAAGAAAGTGCTAGGTAGTACATGAAAGTACATGAAGGTGCTTTTCTACTAAATAGAAAATATTGTGCAAATAGCCTCAGGTCTCCTGACTACTATAGTAGTTCCAAGGTAAAGACCAGAGACACAGCATTGTTCAGTATGAAACGTATCTTTAAAATGTTTTGTCTTTTCTGCACTAATACAGTGAAAGAGATACAATTGTACTACTAGAGAATAGTTTAGAACTAAAAATAGACTATTCAATGGATATAAACAACTATAATCATTATAAAACAATGGATAAGGCATCGTACCACCCCTGAGATGATTACTCTACCAGTACTATTTATATGAATCAACATTCTCAAGAATTAAATGGTTTAAGGGCATTTCATCTAGCCATAACTGGCAAGAACAGTATTACATTTAGACTTCATAAATTAATGTCCAGGAGTTGGACCCTACTGAAGTTCAGTTCAGTGCAAATAAAAGGATTGTTAAGTAATATTAGAGAGCTATGTTTAATCTACCCGCGAGAACAGCTAAAGAATTTTCAGCTGACAAGTTGTTTGCATGTAGTTGTTTCCCACTTAAAAGAAAGATACTATCTTTTTTTCAACCAGGGCTTAACTTAGATGGAAATTAGTTATAAATTATCTATGTAATTTTAGGTAATATAACAGTATTTATTTTCCCATACTTTGTGATATTGACCGAACCTTTGAAAATTTTCTTCAGGGACTGGTTTCTCAAGTCAATTGACATGCATGATAGAAATTATGTAAACCATTAAAAAGTATTCATAAAGTATTTTGCCTTGTTTACCTTTTTTTCGGATGCAGAAAAGGGCAGATACTTATAAAATAGAATTATAAGGACAGTAATTCTTTAAATAGAACTCCTGGCATGCTTAAAATGTCAATAAACAGAGTAATCAAGTATTTACTCCCTTATCCTTATGATGTGAGATTAAAAAATTATGTAAGCGTAAAATCCTAAACATACGTTTTAATGAAAGATGAAATTATCATCTAGTAGTCTATTATCCAAGTATGCTTTGCTTATCAATTTTTCTCCTAATTTTTAATAATACCACAATGTTTATATTTTACAGAAGGAAGAATTGTGTGTTGCACAGCATCTCTCAACTGGATGTAGAGAAAGATGGTTCTATAAAAAACTGTAATACTACAGTCTATCATTTTGTCAGCTTGTGTGTCAGAAGCCAATGTACTCTCATTTTACAGGTGGGAAGACTTGAGGGGAGGTCACTGAAGACTTAGATATATCAGTTAGGTCCTTCTATTGTCTTCCTTACTTTTTTTTTAATTAAGTCAAACATCTTCTAGACTTTTAAAAAGAACTCAGAACTCCATCTTACATTAAGCCAAGTAAAATAAAATCTCAACCTGCCAAATCTTCAGAAATTATTGTAAAGATATCAGATGTATCATCTGAGAATAGAAAAATGCAAAATATGAATTAATTTCTCTGCCCCACCCCACATTTGTCAGTTATTCCTTCAGCAAAGAGCATACATAATAATTTCCTGCACTCAAGACGATACTTGCTAACATTTATTTAAGAGCTGCTCTCTATGTCATACTTTTAACACATTATTTCCTGCAACCTTCCCAGCAACCCTATAGGGCAGGTCCTATTCTCATCCTTTTTTTTTTTATTTAAACAAAGAAACTGAGGCTTAGAGAATTCGAGGAACTTGCCCACAGCCACACAGCTGAGAACTTGGCAGGCCAGGAATTTGTGCCCAGGTCGGCTGAATTCAGAACCTGTGATCTTTACCCCTGGGATTGAAAAAAAGCCAAACACTGAACATACGTGTACCAGAGCTTGGGATGGCGGCTCACGGAATGATTTTTTCCATTAGTTGGAGTGTCCTTTGTTGCTGATTTACTCAACAGGAATTCTTGAAGCTTCTGCTTTACTTCTGTACTTGCCACTGCCCCTGAAACACACACATACAGAAACAGATGGTGATTTGGGGTTCTGTCCTTTCATGCCTCAGGAATATTTAGCAAAAATTAAGAAGTAACACCACTGGTCACAGCATATGAAGTTTTCCTATTAGAAGAAGAAACCAGAGTCTAAATCGGCTTTAGAAAATGACATAGTAACATTTTTTAACTACTGCTTCAACTGCCAGTTTTCAAAAGAACTTCGATGATTTCTTTAATTGCTTTTGCAGAAAGGGGATTTCCAGAATTAATACTAATTTTTTCCTAAGCTTTGAAAAATACTGCTGAGGAACAAAACATTGCCTTTTAAAAATCAAGAATCTTGGGGACCATATAAGTGATTAAACACATTAAAATGAGCTCTTCTGAATTGCTAGTTTGAAAAACAAACTTTTTCAAAAAGCTCTTTTGAGCATTAAACAAATAAATATTGCTGACAATTGCAGTTCAAGTCATCACATTTTAAACCTTGCTACGACCTGATTTTGAACTGACCTCATAAAGGGGAATTATTTGGATCTGTCTCCCTCTTGTGGATAGTTTTTTTTTTTTTTAAACAAACGTTCTACTTTCAATCTTCAAAGTCTGGGTACTGGCAAATTAAACGGAGATAGGCAGATTGATTTATAGAGCAATTATTACTGGAACAGGAGGAATGTATAATGGAGTAATGTGGAGGTAAGCTTATTATTAAACAGGATGGCTGAGAATGCCATAGAATGACATTATTTTTAAGGTTCAAAACAACAGAAATTAGCATCTTTGCTGAGCAATGCGATGTTTACTTCTGGAGGTGCCTGTGGACTTAATGCACAGAGAGCTGATATGTGAATGTCAAAGTTTTACATTAGGGTCCATAATCTATTCTTTTACTTAAACACAGACAGTTTTGACAAGTTTAATTCCACTCTGTATCAGGCTCCTTTCTGAATGACGATCAGCTAAGGATGAGGGAAGAGATCCATCTTTTACCCTGGTGCCTCTTACTTTCTCGTCCTCTATCTTTGCCTCTGAGAGGAGGAAGCTGCTGTTCTCTGCGATGCCTCTCTACTTCCTGTTCTTGCCTCTGTTGCTCCAGTTTCTGCTCCTTTTCTAGGAGTTCTTGCTGCTGTTTTATGGCTAGAAGTTCCTGTTGCAACTTGCGAGAAGAGAAAGACATGAGAGTGTGCAATTTCTTTAGGTTTCATAGTCATCAATGACCAAAATCGAAATGTTATGAGCTTTTGGAACTTATTGGTATCTACTTTACATTTTACCCACTTTTTTGTATATTACTGAAATCTAAAGATAAGCAACTAATGCCATCGATGGCCTTAATGTCATTAACAAGCAAGTGTTCATGCAGCCTCATCACCTGTGCTGCCCTACCAAAATATTACCAAATGCACTCAGTTCCCTGAGGTACTTTTCTTTGTTCATGTGAAATAGATGACACAGGCAAAGAAAGGCAGGAACTTCCCAGAAGTCTGTTTTACCATGTTTCTCACAATATAAATAAACAACTAAAATTTTCACTTCTTATCCTGAGAAATGGTATGAAAATAATTAAACTGAATACAATAGTAAGAGATGAGTTAATTTAAGGGAAATCTACCTGAAACAAAATGTTAAAAATTTCACAACCTTACAGAGAAGGTTTTCAATAGATGAATGCAATCCGCATACCCATGACAAACTGTTTTCTTAAAATAGCAAAAGTCTAAGTAGTTCACTCAGCAACAAAAACCTTCAGGTTAGAGAGACTAGTCAAGGAAAAAAATCACTTTCATAAGACTCTACTTTGATGCACTATTGTTTGGGTGTCTGAATCCCTTGAATTCACCTCCAAACAATGAACAACATAAATCTGAAGCATTCTTCATGACCATTTTGAGATGTCAATGTTGTCTCCGACTGAGAAACACACACCTATGAATAAAAGTAAACGTGCCCACTGAGGAATAACTAAAGATTTTGAGTTCTACTAGCCTATGACATTATAGATATAAGCCATTGGTTCCTCATTTGTAAGACAGAGAAATAATCTCCCTCATACATCATGTGCATAATGCATATGAAATTTAGGTTGCAAGTTTGAGCCATATTAACTTTGCTTATTATTACTATTTTAAACTCTCAATACTAATGAAGTTAGAGGAATTTGCTGGTTACATTAGATGGGTACCAAAAATTTACACTGAAAAGTAATAGGACAAAAATAAAGTTATGTGAAATGGTCTCAGAATTACTCTGGAGCAACAGGAAGCCAACTCTGCAGGTCAAACATGATAGCTTCACTCACCCCAGAAGGACATGGTTAGAAGCATTTCTGGTTACTTTTCATACTAAGATTTTGGCATTTTGTATACGGTCCACCAGTCTCTCAATGGATGTTTTCAGATACTGCTTTCTAAGCTAAGTGAAAATTTCATAATTCTGCTTAAACTTTGCCTTAAATGTTAGTTCTATACAGATATTGGGGTTGGTCAAATTGATTCAGTGCTTCACCCAAAGCCCCAGTGGAACTGAACATTAATCTCTCTTAGGAATCTAGAAAAGCACACAATTTAATTTCCATAGCTACTATTTGTTATAAAAAAATTTCAGGAATGAGGTTATTTTAAAAAGAAAGAAGAAGAAGAAACAAAAATTCACTCCTCCAATTTCAGGCCTCTGTCAGGCCAAGACAGAGGCAGGATGAAATAGTAGCTTTGGAGGCAGACAAGGCAAGACTACAAATCCTGGAGCACCACTTACTAGCTGTGTGGCTTTGTAACTTAGAGTATTTCTCTCTGCCTCAGATGGCTAGGTGAAAAATGAGATAACAGCATCTAATTCAACAGAAGTTGGTTACAAAAGTCAAAAATTCAAGTAAAGCATCATGCTGTGTTTTCCTCATAAAGACAAAAATCTAAATGAATGTTAAGCCCATCAACTTTTAGCCTTATCCATAAAAATGCAAAACAATAATTTTTTTTTAATTTTAAAGCAAAAAATCTTCCTAAACTTAAAAGGAAATCTTAACTATGTTTTTGGTTTCTAAGAAAGTAATGTAGTACTTTAGAAAATCATTCCAAAAGCTAAATTTTCCTTTTATCTATCTCAGAATATTTTTTCTCCCTCCTCTCTTATTTTCCAGATGTCAGGAAACCTACTATATTATTTTGTTCAGGGCAAAGTAAGAATTACCTACGTGCTATTAACTTTTGAGTAAAATAAAAAAAATCAGTTAAAAATTTTTATATTGATCTTTACAACTACAAAAGGTATCAAATATAATGAAAAGAAGTATCTTAAGCTGTAAGTTATCAGTATTGCCCTACATTCAGGGCAACACGACTTGGGTACCACAGCAAAATGAACCAGATAGTTACTTAAGTCTTAAAGTATGGTGAGGAATATAAATTGCCATTTTAGCATGCCTAGAAAGAACGAAGAAGGAAATCAATGTTACTAGTATTGTTTCAAAGGAAGGTCAAACTGAAATAATGCTTCAGAATCATTCAAACATAAAACTATAATCTAAGTGAAGTTTTCCTACACTGTAAAATACAGCCGTGATTCTCACTCTTATTTTTAAGATAGCTTACAGATCAATAAATAGTAAGAGTTCTCTTAGTTAAGTTCACCAGTTAAAGGAAAAAATCATTACATTTTATATTGGGTATCAAAGATACTTTTTTGAAAATAAGATAAAATAGGTCTCCCAGGCTGAAGAAATATAAAACAAGGAACATAGGGAAGAAATAGCATTTTTACCATCTCAGACACTGTAATGTCAATATGGTAAAATTATATAATATTAATATAGATTAGTTATCTACATTAACCTCATAGAAATGTGCTTGTAATTGTTATGCAAGTGAGTAAAAGAGGAAGTGCCTATAATGTAATAAAATATGATATAATATATAATAAATTACCATATAGTTCAGTCGTTTTCAAAGGAGTTAAGACATAAAAATGCATTTTTATTATAAATATTTGCTGCTTTATGTTATTGTCATAACTAATGGAAATTAAACATTTACTTAATCAGACCAAAATAACTGTTATTTAAAAGGTCTTTGTGAAGAAGTTGAAAGAAATTTTATAAATAAAGGTAAAGTAATATTTATCTTTGAAGATAACAGGAGAAGAAATAGATATACAAGACACACCTAAAATGAGCTGACAATGAAACAGTCCATCATGACAAGTTTTGAGATATGGATATATTTCTCCTAGAATAATTTAAACAACTCAGGTCTCAAATTGCCAGCTACTCCCAAATTCTTTCAATAAATTTGTATTCATAGCCTATCAGACTTATATAAAGAAACCAAAAATATCTGTACCAGTTTCTTCACATATAATTCTATTGAGCTTTCATTATGTTGTTATTTTGAATATACATTATGAGGTCTTTTCCATAAGGAAGATTGGGACATACTCAGATCATCTACTTATAGACCAAAGACAAAAAATAAAAATAAACAATAAAAAAGGCTCTCTCTTCACATAAACTAATTTATCCTTTCTGGTAAACAGTATATGCAGATTCATTAGAAATATGAATTGAGTCTTCCCAGGTTCATGTTTCTTCTTGGTGGAAAGTAGATGGAACAAATGAACAAAATCATCTAGAAGAGAATCTGAAAAAGGGTGGGAAGTTACTATTCCCTCCTATTGAGGCTGTAAACTAAAGGATAAAAGAATGGTAGAGACCCTCCTCCACGAAGCAAAGCACTTTTCTTTGCCAGAATTCCTATTACTTACCCAAGGTTTTCACTAGTGCAACCACAATTTCCTCCCAGCCACACATCCATGTGTTATCACAGTCAAACATCCCCCTGGTGCTCCCTCTTATGCCCATGTTATGGTGCAGGCTCCCTGAGTCAGAGGTCAGAAACAGAGAAATGTCTGCTACCTTGATGTGCTCCTGCAGCTGAGCCTGGTGCTGTCGTGTCAAGTTCTCATGCTGTTTCTGAAACTCTGCGATCAGGAGCTGCTTCTGGATTTGCTGCTGTTGCTGGATAAGGAGTAACTCCTGCTGCAGCTGCTTCTCACGGACAACAGGGTCCACCACTGGCATCATCATCCTGAGGTCTGTCCTTAGGTCTAAAGGTGAGATGGGCTCCAGGCCCACGGGAACCTCTGACTTCACATCCACTGGAGGAAACAGAAAAAAAAAAGGAGGGGTGACAGAGGATAGAAAATTAGCACACTGATTTGGAAACAAACAAAAAATGAAAGGCATTAACCCATTCAATGAATTTTACATCAATCCATCTAGCCATTTTTTCACAATGATAATAAAAGGTCTTCTGTATATCAGCTTTGATAAGATGAGCCATATTCACCCAGCAATTTGTACTCTGCCACGAAATCTTCCACATTTCTCTTTTTCAAAAAGATGACTCCAAATATTCACTGGAATCAAAGTTGTTCAATAAAACTTTTTCTACTGGGCCACATAAAAAATTCAAGTCAACTTCGGATGAAAAAAAATGCAACTCTATTGAGGAAAAGATATCATATCATACTGGAAAATTTCTACACAACTAAATTTGTACACTTGCAGTCTTTTTTGTTTGTAATCAGTCAGAAGATATATTCTAAGATATATTCCTTAAGAAGTAAAGCTTTTAACATAATGGACTTGTAGGGCTATAGGATCTAGCACAGAAAAAGTACAAATCTGCACGCTAAAAAATGTGGGAAATGGTGCCAAGTCCAAATGTCAAGGAGTGAAAGTAGCCATGTTTCTACATGCTAGTTTTTAAATGGTGAGAATCTGTACCTTAGTTACCTTTCTAAAATAAACAAGGTAGGAAAACTATGAGGAAGCTTAAAACAAATGTTTAATCAAATCACTGGAAAAAGAAAGACCTGATGATCTGGGCATGATTACAAGGTATCTAAATTTATAAAAATCAAATTAAATAAAGTATATAAAATTCTAAGCACCATTTCTATTAGATAAATTCTATGAGTGATATAACCACAAAAGCTCAGAGGTGGACATGCAGATATACGTCCATGCTGTATAGTTAGTGTCTATGCCAATCTGGTTATTAGATATTGTGAATATGACCCTTGCCCACAGGAATCAAGAAAGTTCTGCAGGTGAACGGAACAGTTTAAAACAATAAGGATTCTGGAGGGAAAACTGTGGTGACCTGGATTGCATAGCTCTTCTGAAGTGGTCAGCAAATACTGAGATCCAACCATTTATTGTTGGGGGAAAAAAAAAAAGGAAACACAGACTTAGTGCAGACAGAAGCCACCGAATTTTCAATTTAAAATAATTTAAAAGATTTAAACATTATGGGAACCAAAACAAATGCTTCTGTAAGTCAATTCTGATATGCAGGCTGCCAATTTTCAACCTCTGCTCCAAATCTAAATGCCTATTCCCATAACTGTTTTAGAAAGTATGTGCTACCTTCAGAAAAACTACATTACCCCAAGTGTGTTATTTAAGTTCTCTGGGGCTCAGTTACTTTATATGTAAAATGGAGATAATTATTGGAACAGTAACAACATAGAGTTGTTTAAACGATTAAATGAGATAGCACATTCCTCAATAAATGCTTTTTTGAAAAAATTATGTAACAATGGAAATGTCCTGTATGTTCAACTAAATCAACAACATTGTGTGGCTAACCAAAAAAAAAAATGTTAGGAGCAAGTATGAAAATAAAATTGTATATAGTTTCAATTAAATATTAGAAAATAAAAACACTAGAGCTTCTAGACAATTTTTAAAATAAGAAAATAAAGAAATATAGCTAACCAACTAAAAATAAATCACCCTCATTAACAAAGAAATGCAAATTTTAATTCAAAATAAGGCATTATTTCTAAATATTAATTATCATATATACAATTCATGTATGTGCATATGTGTATGGACAATGTCCCCTTGTATAGGGTAAACATGTGACCAAGTAGTCAATTACATATTGCAAGTGGCATTGCCAATTATTTTAAAACTTCTGAAAAACAACTTGGTGATATGTATCAAAAGACATTAAATATTTATACCATTTGATTCAGGTTTGCCAACTCTAGGAATACACCTTAAAAAGACAATACTAACAGAGGAAGAAACAGTTCAATGTCATATTGTTTACTGATGTATTATTATTTTAATTGACTTCAACAACTACAAGAAAATGTCTAGTAAAATATGTCACATGCATTTGGTGGAAAAATAAGCAATCATTAAAAATAATGTTTATGGAAATGAAAAATGCTGATACAGCATGAAGTGAATAGTAATAAAAGTGACATATACTCTTATGATAACTCTTTAAACTAAATACAATTTAATTTAGCCTATATACATTGATTGAGAACCTTAAATTCCCAAGTTGACTCTAGATATTTGGGTTTAGTAGTAAAACAAAAAGAAAAAGATTCCAGCCTTCCTAGAGCATATATTCTACTGAGGATTTAAGGTGTTAATCTCTGAATTCTGCTAGCAAAGACTCGTGAAATGGAAAAAAAAGGTTGTATTTTGGGTGGAAATATGAATAACTTTCCCCCTTGTACTTTTCTATATTTTTACAAATTGCATCTAATGCTCTAACTACTACTCTGAGTAACTTAAATTGGCAGATTTCAGGTTGGGAACTATGAAGTGAATATCCCATGTGGATTTAAGAGCTACTTTCAGCAAGTCAAGAAAGCCTAACAGAAATCCTGTGTACAGATGTTAAGGCTTCTAATACGAAATAAAACATTCCTACCTTTGCTTACCACCTGAATTGTGTGTACGTACAGGCATGTGTGTGTGCCAGTGTTTAGGGGTGGGGTGGGGGAACTGGTATCAATCTCGTTTGTTATCATAGGTGATTATTCAATGTATGGGTCAGAAGAGACTGCACTGATGGTGTATATATATATATATATATATATATGTCACTTTAATGAAAATGGGAAAACATTTATTAATAAGCCATAGTTTGGTGGACAGTATCTTCTAAAAATGATGTTGGTGAAAGGAAAAATACTAAGTGTGACAAGGTTGGAACTAATAAGGATGATGATCTGTAAATTCTCTTGGTCACAGTGCCCAATGTAGAACTTTCAGTTAAGGCTCTGGTGTAACATGAGATTTTGAGCATTAATTTTTAGAGTTGGCATAATTCCAACAAAAAGCAATGGCTGTTAATGATATATTTCATTTTTAAATTAAAAAGGCCCCAACTACAGCCTCAGTTTCTGCATGGACATCACAATAAACGGATTTAACCCTATAAAGATAAAATGTAAAATTTCAAAAGACCCTGAGTTCTCTTCTTGTTGGCATTTTTATTATCCATAAATTGTAAATGCCAACCTCTGAAAAAAAAATCTCCCCAAAAAAGATAAGGAAAAAAGAGTTCCAGAACTCTCCAAAACAGCTATTGTAAACCTCAAAGGGTAATTTGACTTCTTAACCTGCTATCCCAACAGAAATGATTGTGTCTAACTGCTTGCCTTTGTTCAGAGACTAATCACTAAATTGTGAAAAATCACCCTCAACTTACAAAAACTGCTCTTGATTATAAATAATTGCCCAAGACTGAGAGAAAGCGGCAGGCAAGATCCCAGTCTTTCATCCAATTTATTCAGCAGCAATCCACATTCCATTTGTCTAGACTAAATATAGCAGCGTTTATACAAGAAATCAATAGTGCTTGCAGAGAGGAGAGCAAAGGCATGAATATTTCATCAGACTCAGAGAGAAATGGCAATCAGCAAACTGATGGTTCTGTGGAGGTCATCTCTGGCCTGCTGGATTAGTTCCTGTTACTTGGACAATAGCTCATCTCTGGCTAATCATAATCATATCATAGCCATTCTTTCTATTTTTAACATTAATTGCATTGTGGGTGACAAAGGCTCATCGTATTCCAAAAGGAATGATGGATTTTTCTTATATCTTTTGTGACAGGCTAATAAGCCTCTCCAGGAGCCGTAATAGTAACACAATACCAGGGCTGCATTTCAACAAGTTACAGTCACTTTCGCATCACAGAATGTGAAAGAAAGGGCATTGTCCCCAGCTGCTGCATTATCGTAATTAGAAATAATCAACTTACAAGAAAAATTAACTGGTTTTAACAGTGAGGAGATGGAATCATCACTGTTCACAACATTTCTTGTCCAGAAACATGCAAATTCCTTAGAACAGGTGGTCAATGATACATAAATTAGAAGGAAGTTGATGATAACAAACCATAGCATTAGCACCAGGTATAAAAAAATCATGTTTTCTTAACAGATATTTGGACTCACCCTATTTGTTTGAAATTTAAAATACATACATAACATATATATATTGTTATATTTATATTATTCTAATACCAAATGCCCAGTCAGAACATTTCCACACATATATTAACTAGTCTTAATTATCACTTTGTAAAGTTCTACTCATGCTTTCTTCAGTATCTTTCTTCATTATTCTTTGATTCTTAATTATCCTTTCTTCTGTTGAGCATTTATCAACTCATGCAATTTTTTAGGAACAGTTTTTAGTTTTTTTTAGAAACCTGATAACAAAAAAGCTCTCATTTCAAAATAAAAATCTCAGATCATATAGATGGTTATGACAATTACAGTTAATTTAAGCAACATACATACCCGTTCAGTTGTAACTAAAGTTCTTTGACAAATACGTTTTTAAAATACCAAGACCACTAAAGGGTTAAATCAGAGGCCCAAGGATACTCTATGTAGCCATGGTGTGTTTCTTAATTCTTCCACTTTAGATGTCATTATTTACAGCCCAGGTAAGCAGGAAGAATTTTCACACATTCAAAAACAGGAACTTTTGCTTGCTTCTTTATCAGCTGGCTTACAAACAAGAAGCCATCCATTTTAAGAATTTTTTAAGTGAACAACTTGCAAACCCCACGGATGGAAAAATTCTAAGAATGCAAATTTTGACCATTTACAACTATCACAACAATGGCTGAAGACTGTTCATGCTGTTCCTCTGAATGAGATGCCGAAGCAGTGTCGTGCAAAAACAGGCTTTCACACACACAAAAATGGCACAGGCACGATCTCACCACCAATTGGTATGTGTCAATTTAGTTAAAAGTTAAAACTTCTAAAAAATGTGACAAAAACTGGAACCATGTTTAACTATCTCAGTTAATACTCATAGTTAC